TCTTAATTTTTATTTTTTAAAATATATTTTTTATTGATTTCAGAGAGGAAGGAGGGAGAGAGAGAGAAACATCAATGATTATAGAGAATCATTGATAAGCTGCCTCCTGCATGCCCCACAGTGGGGACTGAGCCCACAACCCAGGCATGTGCCCTGACCAGGAATCAAACCGTGACCTCTTGGTTCATAGGTCAATGCTCAATCACTGAGTCACACCAGCCGAGCAAACCTTTATTATTTATACTTCTATAAAATCATAAGCAGAGCCCTAGCTGGTTTGGCTCACTGGATAGAGCATTGGTCTGGGGACTGAAGGGTCCCAGGTTCGATTCCAGTCAAGGGCATGTACCTTGGTTGTAGGCACATCCCTAGTAGGGAGTGTGCAGGAAGCAGCTGATTGATGCTTCTCTCTCATCGATGTTTCTAACTCTCTATCCCTCTCCCTTTCTCTCTGTAAAAAAAATCACTGAAATATATATTTTTTAAAAAATCATAAGCAGAACCTCTGTTAAGTCAGAAAATTTTGTAAGTGAAGATCATTAGCCAGAATAAAACAGCTCAAAAGTTGTGTTCTTTTATTTACTGAAGTGGTGACTACTGCTGAAGGCTATTTATAAATTTGGGTTTTTCATTCTTTCTTGAATTTCTATGATGGCAAATTACCTTTTTTTTATGCCTGACAGTATCATTGTTACGTATAAAACTTCATCTTGTTAACTGAATATCTTTTTTACTCACCTGAGGATATTTTTTCCATTTATTTTTTTAAAAATATATTTTATTGATTTTTCTACAGAGAGGAAGGGAGAGAGATAGAGAGTTAGAAACATCAATGAGAGAGAAACATCAATCAGCTGCCTCCTGCACACCCACCACTGGGGATATGCCCACAACCAAGGCACATGCCCTTGACTGGAATCAAACCTGGGACCCTTCAGTCCGCAGGCCGATGCTCTATCCACTGAGCCAAACCTGTCAGGGCTTCATTTATTTTTTAAGAGTGGAAAGAAGGGAGGGGTTAGGGAAGAAAAGGAGAGAGAAAGAGAGATACATCCATTGGTTCTCTCCCACATTCACCCTGACCAGGGCTGGAAATTGAACCTGCAACCCAGGTATGTGCCCTTGATGGGGAATAGAACTCAAGACCCTTAGGTGCATGGGCTGCAGCTCTAACCACTGAGAACACTGGCCAGGGCTATTTCTTACTGAAGGAGAAAGTAAGTAGGAAGGAAACACTACTCTCCTCTGTACTATTTTTAACTATCTTAATTCATGAACCAGAACATGCATTGAAAGGCTTAGTTCTTGGGTTTCTAATCTCTTTGCCATTCATAAATTGATAAGGAAATTAATTTGTTATAAAATACCTATTAATATCTATTAAGGTTATTTTTTAAAAATATATATTTTGATTTCTTACAGAGAGGGATAGAGAGTTAGAAACATCGATGAGAGAGAAACATCGATCAACTGCCTCCTGCACATTCCCCACTGGGTATGTGCCCTTCACCGGAATCGAACCTGGGACCCTTGAGTCCGCAGGCCTACACTCTATCCATTGAGCCAAACCGGTTAGGGCTCTATTAAGGTCATTTTAAAATTACCCCAAAACTCATAGAATTTTAGCATTGGAAAGGACCATATAGATCATTTACTTAAAACTCCATCACAATTTACAAATGAGAAAACTAAGACCAAGAAAGTGAAATGAATTGCTCATAGCACACAACTAAACTGCAAAGGTCTCCTGACTCCAAATTCAGTGTTCTATTAAAATTTTGTGTGAACTTTTTAAAAAAATATTTTTTTTATTAACTTCAGAGAGGAAGGGAGAGACAGAAACATCATTGATGAGAATCATTGGTTGGCTGCCTCCTGCACGTCCCCTACTGAGGATGGATGGAGCCCGTAACCCAGGCATGTGCCCTTGACCTGAATCGAACCCGGGACCCTTCAGTCCACAGGCCAACACTCTATCCACTGAGCCAAACTAGGTAGAACTAAACTTTTAAACTTTATTTCATTTTATCTTTTAAGTCTTTATTGTTGAAACTATTACATATGTCCCCCTTCTCCCCCACACTAACCCCATCTAGCCGCCCTCCCCACCCCCACCCCAGGGCTTCACCACTCTATTATTGTCTGTGTCCATGGATTATGTTTATATGAAAAGTTTTAAACTTTAAAAAAAAGCTTTACAAACCCAGATTATATATATAATAATTTTTAAATTATAAGGAGCAATTAAAGGGAATTTTATCTAGTCACAATAAATATGGACTTCTTGTTCAGTTAGACATAGAAAGCAATTTACCTTCTCATTTATGTAGCAATTTTCTTCTTTTTGTATTTATTTATTTGAGAGAGAGAAAGAGAGAAACATTGATTTGTTGTTCCACTTATTGATGCATTCATTGGTTGCTCTTTGTATGTGCCCTGACCCAGGTTGAAACCCGCAACCTTGGTGTGTTGGGATGATGTGCTAACCAACTGAGCTACATGGCAAGGGCTTAAAGCAATTTTCATTTGTCAGAAATAAGAATATATTGTGTACCAAAAAAGAATACAAAGAATATATTCTATACAGATTATATAATGTTAATTTTGCTAAACTTAATAAAGATGTATGTGGGTTATTTTTTGTTTGGAATCATTATTATCTTTGTCGCTCTTTATAGACATTGGTCCACTTCCACATGGAAAGTAGGGAGCACCTATTTACACTTAATATTCTATAATGATATAAATCATAGTTACTGAAAAAATTTTTTTAACGTTTTTTTAATACTCAACTGAGGATATGCTTTCTTATTGATTTTGAAGAGAGAGGGAGAGGGAGATAGAGAGGAACATCAATTCAAGAAAGAAACATTGACTGGTTGCCTCTTGCACACACCCCAACAGGGATTTGAACCTGCAACCTGGGTATGTGCCCTGACCAGAAATCAAATCTGAAAACAACAGAGCCACACTGGCCAGCAAACTAAAAGATTTTTATATTCATGGCCCAAAATGTTCCCTCAATATGTTTTTGTGTGTATAATTACAAGCATTTATAACTCCACAAAGCTAGTTTCTTCTTAAATCACTGTAGTATTATTTATTTTTTAAAAATTCTTTATTAGTTAAGGTATTACAAATGTGTCCTCCACTGTAGTATTTCTAATATCCACATTAGACCAAATGTGGATCATCAAACTTTCAGAATAAGTTAAAAAACAGCTATCCTCTGTCAATCAGATGCAGTTCCAAATCTAAGTGACTGCACATGCACTTTCATAGTTTAGGGCTGCTCTAAAGTTTAAAATCTTTTCTCTTGCTTCAGAGATATTAACATCAAAATAAGCCACTGTTCATAGTATATAACAACCCAAATATAATTTTCACCTATCCTGTGTAAGGAAGTTGAGCATTTAAAAGTTTCTCTAATAAGCCCTAGCCGGTTTTGCTCAGTGGACAGAGCGACGGCCTGCGGACTGAAGGGCCCCAAGGTTCGATTCCGGCCAAAGGCACATGCCCGGGTTGCAGGCTTGATCCCCATTAGGGGGCGTGCAGGAGGCAGCCAATCAATGATTCTCTCTTATCATTGATGTTTCTATCTCTCTCTCCCTCTCCCTTCCTCTCTGAAATCAATAAAGAAATATATTGAGGGAAAAAAAGTTTCTCTAATAAACTCAAGTGCTTTTTCTCAACATAAATTACACAAACTATTCTAAATGTTTTACATTTATTTCAGTGCATTATATTCAAATACTAAATGGAATGCAATTATAATAATATTTGAGCATATTATGAAATCACACAAATCAATTCATGTCAATATACTTTACTATAAAACAACTTCACAGGCACACACAAAATAGAGAACAAAATTTGCTTTTTAAAACAAATTTAAAGTATACTATCTACTCTAAATTACACTATTTTCACAAAACAGCCAATTTCCAAACCCCTTTTGTATCTCTGGCATAAAGGAAGTTCAATCCACTCGAATCTTCTGGTTTGTCATCCTATAAATGATGCTATCATATCCAGGATCCATGTTCCAAATATTGTAAGAGGTGATAATCACAGCCAAGGCCAAGGAGATCGTTACCCAAAGTACCATGTTGAAAACCACCGCATACTCAAAATTATACTTGTATGCAAGGTTATAGGGACTTGATGGGTTCTTCTCTTGTTTTGTCTCAAGGATAGTCCTTGTCTTCCTCACAAGTGATGTGTCGTATGATCTGACAGTCACTAGCTCTACCACTGCATTCCCATCATAAAGACTATACATGCCATCTGCAAACTTTTGCAGAGCATCAACAAGGACCTTGGAAGCATCTCTGAATTGCTCAGAATCTTCTCCGTAATGTTTCCCAATTTCATCCAAACCTGCCAGCTCCAGTGAATATAAATCAGGAGAATGATCCTTGGCTAGATGCTTATGTCGAGACAGCAAACTTGAAATATCACACAGAACTTGCAGTTCAGAAAGAAAGAGCAGATCAACTTCACTGTTACTACTCAGAGAATTGAGGGGAAGTGAATTAAGAACAGAGTTTTCTTGAAACAGGCGATTGCGGAGCTGTCCTAACGTTACTGAAAGATCTTCAAAAATTGAGTTGGCCTTCCCCACCATATACACTCTTTCCTCACTGGGAGCCAACTGCAAAACTACAGGACTTTCTTGAGAAAATAAGGAATGAATGGAATTTGCAACACTGTCAAGACTAAAAGGAACTGCATTCTCCAAAGGGTAGGAAATGACACTGCCTGGGGGTAGAGCGAGTTTGTCCACTCCCTTCACTATCACCATAACAGTCGCCTGAGGACGATGGAATAGGTTACCCACAGCAAGTCCAGGCCAAGAAAGTTCTTCTTCCACAGAGAAGCCCATGGCTAATGCAGCCACGTCTGGGATTCGCTCTCCTGGTATAGACCAATTTCCACTGCGGAAAACAACATACTCTGGTGATCTTAATACACTAAACTCGTTCCCCAAAACACCCGCCACCAAGGACAGAAGCATGACGAGCACGGCCATGGCTCCCCGCTGGCCACAGCAGTGCAGGTCAACACGTGGGGAAGGTGAGCGATCACCACAGCGCCAGGGGGTGACACGTTCCAGCTGGTCCCGACTGCCGGGGACCGCCCCATCGTTGCCTCCACTGGGACAGCTGCCGCTTTCTCCACCAATCGCCAGCTACCAATAAATATGTATTTGTATTTAAAATTTTTATTGTATATGTACAACCTAAGTTATTAAAATTAACAAGAGTTTAATAACTTATAAATCTTTTGTACACTACCATGTTGAATTTTTTTATAACTAAATACGTGCTTTGAGTAGCCCACAGCATCACTGAAAATGTAATGACTGACACAATAATGTGGCGGATATTCAGAAGGGCAGATCACAATATATTCTGAAATGACAACACAGTCATTTTAAAAGATTAAAGCAATGTTTAGAGGGTCCAGCAGTTGAATTTCCTCCACCTAGTGTTCAGTTAGCTTTTAGCAGCTGAGAAGTATAAATGGGACAACTCAGTAATTTGTCTGATCTCAGTGCACATACTGTACTTATACCTATTTAACTACAGGCCTTTTGAATAATGCCAGCATACTGGAAGAAAAGGATATTCTGGCTGGTAATGTACCTTGAGATATGGCTATTTCACTCCAACTGAGAGTCCATATTTCAGGTGATTATTATAGCCCTTATCTGAGATAAAGATGCTATTTCCCATGTTAAATTTAATGACATAGATACTGTAAATGGAGAAATAAAAAGAAAAAATAGATTCAATGAAATATACCATGCTGCTACTTTGTCTTCTTTCATACTGAACTGGCATGATATAGTTCAGAATAGAGAGCTGGTCTGTGGTATCTTCCAGAACAGCAGAGATCCTCAGTACATCTAGAATGGAGAGTGCCTCTATGATTTCTGGGATGACTTCTATGTCTGCTTCTTGAGCTGTTTCTTCTACTACAACACTAGGTGGTTCGCCTGTCACTGACACCATCACCTCAGGTTGCCAAGGTTTTGAAGAAAGATCTGAGGCTTCCAGTTGGCTTCCACAGAAAAAATAAAGAAAAAAGTAAGTCAGCCACCAAAGGTTTTAAAGTTAAACTCAAAAGCACAGGTAGCATGTAGACTGGCTCCTATGAAGTCTATATTGTCATATAATATAACCAAGATGAACAAAAGTAGGAGTTTTGCATGTGATTCTGCTAAATACCTCAGTGACATTTTAACCAACCATAAGCAAGCAACTTACTGTTTAACGAAGTTATGTGATCCATGCAATTTGGCTATGCTTAACCAATTTGAATTGACTTTTTTTCTAGCAACATCTTTAGATGCTACTAACCAAAAGTGCCTCATGATTAGTGAAAAACAGAATGTGGTAGACAATTTCCAAGTTGGCCCATATGATTCTCACCTTCATGCCCTTTTGTAATCTCCCCCACATTGAATAGGACTAACTAACCTATGTAACTAAAAGAATATTGTGGAGTCCAAGGCTAGGTTATAAAAGGCTAGGTGCAGGCCCTGGCCCGGTAGCTCAGTTGGTTAGAGCATCCTCCCGATACATCAAGCTTGCAGGTTTGATCCCTGGTTAGGGCACATACAAAAATCAACCAATGAATGCATAAATAAGTGAAAAAACAAATCAATGTTTTTCTCTCTCTAAAATCAATAAAATAAAAGACATTGCAGCTTCTCCCATATGCTGTTGTCTCTCTCACACTGTGGGAAACCAGCTGCCTTGTCATGGAGACTCTTAAGCAGCTCTGTGGATAAGTTCATGAGGGTGAGAAACGAAGGCCTCCTGCCAACAGCCAGCATCAACATGCCAGCTCTATAAATGAGACATCTTGGAAGAGGATCCTCCAGCCTCAGTCAAGTCTTAAGATGATTGCAGGATTGGCTAACTTCAACCTTTTGAGGGACCCCAACCCAGAACCATCCAGCTAAGCTGCTCCCAAATTCTTGACCCACAAAAACTGTGTGAAATAATGTTTATATTTTAAGTAGGTAAGTTTTGGAGTCATTTGTTACATAACAATAGATAAGTAATTCACAGAAATTTAATGTAAGGGGCAATTTAAATAAATACACACAAAATAAATTGAAATTTTGAACATACGCTTCCATTCTTCTTAAGTTAGCTTTGTTAACTTCCAAGGTACATGTATAATCTCACAAAAATGAAGTCAGCTAAAATGGGAAGAAAACATTGAGATTAGTTTGAGTATTGAATGACATTTAAGTTATTTCTATGCTCTTCCATTCTGAGAAAATTAAAGAATTACAAAAGCTGTAGCTTATCCCATCTTTTTACTGTTAGAAGTTTTAAGTTTTAGAGATGGAAGAACCATCATGAGGTGCAGGTCTACTAACCAGCTTAATTATCAGTAGGTAAATGCAATCTTTGAGTCTGTTCTTAAGGTAAATTAATATCCAACATGGTTTTCATACTTTGTATTATATTCTGATTTTTTAATTGGTAACCTCTATAAAATAGATTTACTTTTCTGTTACTTTGATTACTAAAATATTTAATTAGATTAATCTTTTCCCTGATCTGTCAGATAGCAGAGTTGATTCCATCTGGACTTAAAGTACACTCGAGACTACACTTAAAAAATCACAGCTACCAAGATGTTAACCCTCCTCGGTAAACTAGAGTCCTTTCTGCTTAAAAGAGCTTTAAATTTTCTATAGAGAATTTTGCTCTATCCTGAATGAATAGTGAATGGTATGTTTCCAGTGTGGTTTTGTTCACAAAAAAAGTGATCCTAATAAGGGTGGTACAAATGTCTCACACAATGAAATTCTCACATGCAAAAATTCCAACATATGAATCAGAATGTTTATGTAAATTTTAAAACAACTATACTCCAAACTAGCCACATTTTCTGGTGCAAGGGCAGTCTTGAGGAAGCAGCATGGCGTTAATAAGATTTTGTTCTTTTGTCGTGTTATTTTTACATTTTTTCAACTTGGGGCTTAGGTCCATGTGTTTCACATAGGTAAGATAGAGCTATGCTTATATAGTTTCCACTACTTTTGTTCTGTTCTAGCTTCTCATTCCTCAGTGCTAGAAACCTAGGAGTCATTCTTGCTTCCTCCTTCATCTTGACATCAGCATCCTCCAATCTAAACCACACCAAGTCCTGTGGATTTTACCTAATATTTCCATATTCTCTAACACCATGCTAGATCATGTTGTTTCTTGCTTGAACTACCCTAATTGCCTCCAAATTGGAAGTGATCTTTTTTATTTTATTTTTGATTACTAGAGCGAGAGGAAGAGAGGGATAGAGAAATAAGCATCGATGAGAGGAACATCATCAATCAGCGGCTTCCTGCACGCCCCCTACTGGAGATTGGGCCCACAACCTGAGCATGTGCCCTAACCAGGGATCAAACCAGTGACCTCTTGGTTCCTGAGTCCCTTTTGGTTTCTGGGTCAATGCCCAATGATGTCAGCCACACCAGTCAGACTGAAAATGATCTTTTTATATATATTCAATATATATTTTGTTGATTTTGGAGAGGGAGGGAGACAGAGAGAGAAATAGAAACATCAATAATGAGAGTGAATCATTGATTGGCTGCCGGTTTTGGGCTGGAAGTGATCTTTTTAAAATGAAAAAGTGATCTTTTAAAATTGAAAATCTGATCATAAGGGAAGACAAGGGTGGGTGGGAAGAGATGAAGCAAAGAACTTATATGCATAACCCATGGGCACAGACAATAGTGTGGTGAAGGCCTGGGGCAAGGGAGGAGGGCTCAGGCTAGAAGAGGTCAAAAGAGAAAAAAAGGGGACATAGGCAATACTTTTAATAATAAAGACAATAAAAAAAATTCTGATCATGTCCCATCCATGGTTTCCCTTTGCCTTAGGACAAAAAATAAAATTCTTAACTTTGCCTATAAGGCCTTCATGATCTGTTCTTTCCCTTATCTATCTGGCGCTGTCTTTCTTTTTGCTCTCGTGGCTCTCATCTTGTAAAGTCCCATCAGGCAGCAATTTAAATTAGTGCCATTTTGCTATGTATCTGTCTTTTGCCCCTCTAAATGTAATCTCCATCACTTCCTGTGCCCTGGGATTCTAATCCACATGGATTGCCTCATGCATCAGTGGGAAATTTCAAAAGAGATCCAAAGAGTAGGATTGTAAGGTCCGGTGTTTATTCCCCCAGCTTCCTCTCTTCCGGACCACCATTAGTCGCTGTTTCTCTATCAAAGGCCATGGCTCCTGTCAGGCAACCCTCTCCATATTGCTCTCTCTTGGGGGCTCAGGTAACTTCTTCCCCATGTGCCTGGAGCATGCATTATCCCTTGCAGTTTCACTCTTGCCGACACCTTTGTACGCAGACTCCTTAGTAAATGCTCTTCAACTCTGCCAATCTTCTCCTTCCAGGACAACACTGACACAATGACCTACAATGACACACACACATTTTATATACAGTATATATGTAAATACACATCCATGCACATAACTGAAAAAGTTTCATAAAATAATTTACCTGTAGCATTTGTGATACATTCTATTTTTCATTCTATTGCATGGGCCTTAAAAAAGGATTATAATGATGATCTAATGGGTGACCACCTGCAGTCTGAAAATGCCTTGAGTGACACTTCTGCAAGTGACACCTTCCCTTACTCCTCCATCCACCTGGAGCAGGATTCCTCCGTGCAAGCACCGATTTGACTACACTTTTATTTTCCTGCAACACTCTCTTCACACTTTGCAATGTTTATGTCAGTTTCCCCCACTAGACTGTTAAGTTCCATGAGATCAGGAACCATGACATTGATGCTCACTATTGCATCCCAAGTTTCAGGCACCATGTTCAATAAATATTTGTAGAATGAACGAACAAAGGAATCAAACTCACAATGCGTTATTCCTCCGAGGAGTACTTTTCTAATACATTTAATGCTGGAATTGTTAGCACATTCTCTCACAGTGAGTTTCTAGTATATTTCTCGGATACAGAAAATCAGATGGGGGGAGTGGGCGATAAAGGCACATAAACTCTATCCTGATGTATATTTATAAGCATCTGACTTGAAATAGGACTGATATACATCTATCACATAAAACTCTGGAGTCATCCTTTACTCTTTCTCTCTCATTCCTTATCCATTAGCAAACCTGGTCAGCGTTACATTTAAAATGTACTCGGAATATATTTTGCTCCCCCGACTAGAAAGTCAACTCTACGTGGGCAGATCTCTGTTGTTTTGTTTACTGCAATGTCCTCTGAGCCAAAAACCAAGCTTGGTACAGGGGAGTCGTTCAATACACGGTTGGATAAATGAATGGATCCGTAGGGTAACCCAAACAATTGTGCGATAATCAGGAAATGAAAATCTCCGACGTCCATTAATCTATATCAAGCTTGTCTCTACAAGTAATTACTCAAGACCTACTACTGGGCGCCCAGTTTGCATGGCAGCTGAGTGAGTTCTCCCTAAAAAGGAATAACGCTTTTTTACGACAAAAAAAAAAAAAAAGCCTTGTTTTCTCCTTACCCTCGGGGACAAAATAAAGGATGAGGTGAGAGCTTAAGTCATTTCTGGGAAGAGAGAAAGGAGTACAGGAGGAAGGAGGAAGGGGAGAGGGGAAGGCACAGAGAAGAGCTCCCCCTTCGTGCGACCGGCCTCTCTCTTTCAGGCTGGGCTCCGAGGCCCCGCTCGCCCTACTCCCGTGTGGTAAGAGCGAAAGACACCCCCACGTTGGCGAATCAAACCTGAGGTGCCCGAAGCGGGGGTGACGTCCTCCGGCCCGCCTCACTTTCTTAGCCGGCCTCGCTTTTTCCACCTACCGCACGCGATGACGCAGGAACCCAACGACGATGTTTCTATGGCAACGCGGGGCTTTCTGGGACCGTTGTTTCTCCTCCTTTAGCTGGCTACCGCTCTGCCTGCCTCTGCTCCAATATCATACACGTTGCAGCTTACAAAGCTGAAATTACTTAGGGACACAACTGTGAGAGTGCTTTTGAATGTGGCTGGTTTTAGTCAGAAAAGGATTTCCCCGATCTGTGTTTTCTTTGGGCGGTTGCGGAAGATGCCTAAACTGAGGGCGGGGCGGAGAGGTGTTTCTCCCAGAAGGCCACGCGGCGGGGCCTTGCCTTCCTTTTTCCGCCATCTTGGACCCTGTGGAGGTGAGTGGAAGCGCTGCGGCTGAAGTTTAGGGGTAAATAACTGGAGTGGGTTCCACCACATCTCTCGGAGAGGCACTGCTGGGGCACGGGGGCTCTGCCAGGCGTTTATTTTGATGGGTCCCAGCAACAGGGAGGACGGGATGGAGGAGATGTGGGGCCGATGGTGCTGGTCCCCTGACGCTCGGGAGACGGGTGCTCCCGTAGTCAGAGTTGCTTCCTGGGCCCGTACCTTATGAGACAGATGCACTTTATCGTCTGCATTCACCTTTTTGAGACAGCGGCAGCTTTTGGCGGGGTTCTTTCCGTTGGGTCCCCCTGCAAACCTGGCTTTGTCTGTAATCTCTAGCCTCAGTGTTCCTTTCCCATTCATTGCTTAAGAGTCTTGTTTTCTCCGTGCTTCTCTGACTTGTTGATCTTTCTAGTGATCGTGACATGAGTTTTCTTAGGATTCCCTTTAGGAGTTTTCTAGGGGTTGCAGGTGTACCGTCTTGCAACTTTCATTTTGGAGTTTACTTAGTTACCAGGCATTCTCCGACGTTGGAGCGTCTTGCCAGACGGCGCTTCATGTGCTTGCTAAGCAGCACAATGACGTCTCCCCGTGCTCCGAACGGGACATGCCGACAGGTTTAAGTCTTAAACTTTAAGAAAAGCAGGGACTAGGTGGGGAACGTGCGTGGCACGAATTTAAACTGCTTCTTTTTTGTTTTAAGGCCTGCTGGGAACGGGACTTCTATAAGGACCAATATGTCTGGAAGGTATGCGTTTTTAATATAATCGCTTTGTTCTTGTTGTTTTTTGTTCATTAGGCATGGACCTAACTAAAGGCGAACTGGAAACTAGTGCGGGCGCGGGTGGGGGGGGGGGAATTAGATGTTTGCTGTGGATGGGGTCATTACAAGTCAAATCAGACTGGTGGTTTGTTGAATTTAAACGAGATCTTGCAGCAGTTTGTGACTGATACATATTCTGTGTGTCCTAGGCTGTGGTCCAAGGCCATTTTTGCTGGCTATAAGCGGGGTCTCCGGAACCAGAGGGAGCACACGGCGCTTCTTAAAATTGAAGGTGTTTATGCTCGAGATGAAACAGAATTCTATCTAGGCAAGAGATGTGCTTACGTGTACAAAGCAAAGAAGTAAGTTTATAGCATGGTTATGCGTATTGAGTTGTTTGAAATTTGTTCCATTTCCCTCTTCAAACAGGAGTACGTTGGTACTGTTGTGGCTTCTACTTTGGGACGTTTAGGACCTTCATGAGAGGTTATAGGTTATAGATATAGAAGGATGTTACTTTTGAGGGTAGTGTTGTATTTAAGTATCTCCTGCAGTTAACCACAGCTGTTAATTATTTCACGGAAGAAGCCAGCTCTTTATATTATGATATTAAGATTTTATAGAGTGCTTTTCCTGTATCTTAATTCATTTGGTTGATTTCCTTGAAATTATATTTCATACACATACTTAAAGATGTATGTCTCCAGAGCATCAATTCTCTATCCTGGGTTCTTAAGCCCATTCCAGACCAATTAAAATCTCTGAGTACATGCTTTCATCTCTGTCGTCCTTTTCTCCTACAATCAAGAGTGATCCTTTGAATTATGTCAGGTCACATCTGTACATTGTTCAAGCTCCCAGGTCATAGTAAAAGCCAAGGTCATTAAAATCTATGCTTTCAAGACTCTGTTTCTACTCTTAATCTAGCTAGGATTCACCTCTTGGTCTCTTCTGCCTTGTCACAAGCAAAAGACACACCTCCTCAGTCTTCGTTACCTTCTTAGTGAGACTTTCCTGGTTTTAAAATTTGATGCACACAAGTACCTCAAACTACTTGATCCCCTTTCCTCCTTTCTTTCTCAATATTTCAAAAGCTCTTAACCATCTTACATTCTATATTTTAGTTACATGTAAATAAAGGCTGTATACTTTGTTATCCTCTGAAAGGAATTTGTTTTGTAAACTGCTGTATTTTACAAAATTCCAAACAATTGCATTGTGTCTGGCGTATAGTAGGTATGTTACAAAGGTATTGTTAAGTGAATGATGCCGCAGGCTTTTATGTAATGACCTAAGTGGTTAGCTAGGGTTAACCACTGGTCTATATGTCACTTAGAATTTGTACCACATTATAGTACGTACTAATTGCCTGGCTTCTCACGGTTTTTTTGTATTCCCTGTTAAAATCAGCAACACGGTGACTCCTGGTGGCAAACCAAACAAAACCAGAGTAATCTGGGGAAAGGTAACTCGTGCTCATGGAAACAGTGGAATGGTTCGTGCTAAATTCCGAAGCAACCTTCCTGCTAAAGCTATTGGACACAGAATCCGTGTAGTAAGTACAATTATAAGCAAAATACTTGTTGAGTCAAACTAAGCTCAAGGTGTTGGACTTTGGTCTCTAAGAACTTTTGTGATTATAAAATGTTACTAGTAAAATTATGCTACAGAATTAGTGGCTCCTGTGTAAATGTATTATGGAACATAAAATTCTTGACATTAGAAGGAAAGTGAAGGCACAATTTTCAAGTGAATTGTGCCTAGATTTCAGATTTTGCTTAAGCTTTGTGGAGGGAAATAATATGTAAATGAATAATTTTCTGCCCTGGCTAGTGTGGCTTGGTTGGAGCATCATTCGGGCACCAAAAGGTAGTAGGTTCAATTCCCAGGTTTGGGGTTCTATGCCTGGTTGGGGCATGTGCAGAAGGCAGTAGATAGATGTTTCTGTCTCTGTGTCCCCTCCCTTACCTCTAAAAAAAATCAGTAAAATAAAATAAATGAACAAATTTCTGGCAAAGACATGTATTGGACATTAACGAAGTGGCTAGGAAGTTAAAAATCAACATACCGCTCTAACTGGTTTGGCTCAGTGAATAGAGCGTCGGCCTGCGGACTGAAGGGTCCCAGGTTCAATTCCAGTCAAGGGCATGTACCTTGGTTGTGGGCACATCCCCAGTAGGAGGTGTGCAGGAGGCAGCTGGTCGATGTTTCTCTCTCATTGATGTTTCTAACTCTCTATCCCTCTCCCTTCCTCTCTGTAAAAAATCAATAAAATATATTTTTAAAAAATAAATAAAAAATGAACATACCATTTACTGGCATAATTCTTAATATTTTCCCATCTTTTCATCATGACAGTTTTATTAGATTAGGTGTTAGTTTTATTTTGTGGAAGAAAACTGATGTTTTTGTTAATCCTCACCAGATTTTTAAAAAATTTATTTTCATTGATTTCAGAGAGGGAAAGAGAGATAGAAACATCAATGATGAGAATCATTGATGGGCTGCCTCCTGCAGGCCCCACACTGGGAATCAAGCAGGAAACCTGGGCATGCACCCTGACTGGTTCAAAGGTCGATGCTCAACCACAGCCATGCCAGCTGGGCCCACAAAATATTTACTTTTTAGACAGAGTGG